TTCGTTTACCATATTTTCTATTCATTCCTTTCATTCAATATTTCCACCATTTTTCTCAATCTTACGTTGGAGTTTTTCTCAATCTTACGTTGCCTAAAAATAGTTTGCAAATTGAATCATTATATACTGACACAATTAGAATGTTTATATATATATATATATATATATATATATATATATATATATATATATATATATATATATGAAGAAGAAAATATATACGGAAAAACAAACAAAAAATCCTTATATACAATTATGCTGTTTTAATGTTAATATGTCAACGTCGGACGTTTCTGGTCTAATAAACCATCTTCACGACATATTCATAAATTATAACATTATCAATACAACATGACAAAAGACGATGTACATAAGTACAAGGCTTTGTTTTTCCGTATATATTTTTCTTCATACTGTCGGATCTATATCCATATATTTGCTTACATATATATATATATATATATATATATATATATATATATATATATATATAGAGAGAGAGAGAGAGAGAGAGATAGAGACATAATATTAGTGGTCAATATATATATGTATATATAGAGAGAGATAATATTAGTGGTCAATATATATATATATATATATATATAGAGAGAGAGAGAGAGAGAGAGGGAGAGAGACATAATATTAGTGGTCAATATATATATGTATATATAGAGAGAGATAATATTAGTGGTCAATATATATATATATATATATATATATATATATATATATAGAGAGAGAGAGAGAGAGAGAGGGAGAGAGAGAGAGATAATATTAGTGGTCAATATATATATATATATATATATATATATATATATATATATGTATAAATTCCCAAGAGGATAGAATCCAGGTAGAACTAAATGTCCAGGACAGAGTAATAATATAATAAAAAAAGGCTCAAACACTAATATTCCATGGTTATAATTTATTACATTGGAATCGTAATTACGATCCAAATCATCAGACCTACAAATTCAAAAAGAAATCGGAAAATATAACTCTAGATTTCCCTCTCACGCTTGTTTCCAACTTCCACACACATACATTCTCACTAAAATTTTGTTTTTTATACCCGGAGTTATATTTTCCGCTTTCTTTTGAATTTGTAGGTCTGATGATTTGGATCGTGATTACGATTTCAATGTAATAAATTATAACCATGGAATATTAGTGTTTGACCTTTTATATATATTTATATATATATATATATATATATATATATATATATATATATATATATATATATATATTATTAATTAAAGAATATCAAATACTTAAAATTCCACTATTTTGCATTATTCAGGTGGTTGGAATGTCGAACTGAACCCTTTACTTATTTTGATCGAAATAAAGGCTTTGTTCGACATTCCAACCACCTGAAGAAGGCCGGAGCGTAGAACGGCCCAAGCGTAGAACGGCCGAAACGTTGTGATGACAATTAGGCTTGTGGTTGATCTGGTTATTCACTTTTGTATTTAATATCGCCGTATTTCTGATGTTGAGAACATTTGCCCATAAATCTAGTATATTTTAAAACTATTTTTTTATATACTTTTTCATATACTTATCATATACTTATAAAGAAAATTCGAGACTTTTATAGATTGAAAATTAGTAAATTATCACATAAATAATTAAATACAAAAATAAATAGAAATATATAATAATTATATCTAAACATTAAAAAATTAAATAAAATATGTTTTTTCGCTACACAGTTCTAACCATGTTTCAAAAATGCAAGCTAAAAGCTTCGAATTTAATTTTGTAATTAAATTAAAGACGTTAGTTCCATTTCATCCTCAAGCGAATTTTGGAGAAAACTTATCTTTAAATTTACTGGGTTTTAAAGGCACGGCAAAAATCATAATTTACAGTTTCCAAGGATACAGAGATTGCGTGCTCATTTTATTAACTTTTGTTGTGTCAGTTATTAGTTACGTTTGAAAAAGAGGTTGCGTTTATGTAGGGGTAGGGATGTATTTATATATCTTACTGTTCTCTCTCTCTCTCTATATATATATAAAGACATTTTTATGTTTAACATTCTTTTTATAGATACAAGTATTTAAGTAAATCCTCTGTTTATAATAAACAGTATTAAATAACTGAATGTCCGAGAAATTGTCATAGAAAATATTCGTTCGTTGACAGGATTCGAACCTGCATCCTATACGGAACCGTCATTTACGCTGACGTGCCTTAACCGACTCGGCCACAAAGGAGCGTTCGGTAGGCAAGGTCGAATTTACTGCTTATAAACTTCAATCTTCCATGAATCCTGAATTACCAGTAAAAAATTCGTTCATCACCATATTTGTACATGAACGCATAACTTTAAAAAATTTAAAATCAAACTCAGCGTTGCTACTGCGCGCTCCAAAAACAATAACTCATTTCCAATAGCATTTTCGGATACAACAATACATATATTTTCGTTGTCCTCTTATTACTAAGAGAAAAAACAAGAACAACATCTATTCTATACCTGAAGATGTCTGTAGGAACAGACGAAAGCTTGTAGTAAAAATAAGAACTAATACGGCAGAAATTTATAGAAACAAGGATCTTTTCATTCATAACGGATTCGTAGGTTTTTGTATATTATTTGAATTGTTTGCGACGATGGATTTCTCGCCAATTAAATCATTAACCTTTGCATTTGTTTTTGTGTGAATAATTCATGAATATATATATATATATATATATATATATATATATATATATATATATATATATATATATGTTGAAAGAGAGCGAGAGAAATACACATATATAAAACTTAGGTGTGTATTTCGTTCTATTAATTAAACAATATTAATTACATTTACCGGCCTGAATTTACTCTGCTTAACCGGAAGTTCTCCGTGGCTGAACTGTCATAGCACACCAGGTTTATAGTGGTTCCGCATAGGATACAATATCGATTCCTGTCGGTGGACGCATACTTTCTACGAAACTTCTAACATTTAGGTTGGTAAATTTAATTAATACTGTTTAACTAAAAGAAAAATAGCATTTATTTAAGTAAGTACATCCATAAGAAATAATGTATAAACAGCAAATATATTAAATACTAGCCGAATTACCCGCGCCTCACTGCGTGTCACTCATTTTTTGTAAGTAAATGATGACTGATTTTAAATCATTGTCATAATTTGTGGAAAAAAATGATGTATTTCAATGTTACTCAATGATCTTGCCGATGTGACCTCCATCTTCTGGATTTCTCTTTTCATATTGTGGGTAGAAATCTTTCCTTTTTCAAGTTTAATTTTAATTTAAATCAAAGGGAAAAACATTTTCAGTGGGGAACAAAAACAGCTTGATCTGACCCCTTTGATATATATATATATATATATATATATATATATATATATATATATATATATATGTTTCATTAAATAATACAGACTAGTGTTGTCTATTTATTTTATGTAAATTCTTTTCATAACGTCTGATAAGCTTAATAACAGTATCATTAAACGAAGAAAGAAAATCACAATATTGATACTTATTTTAATCCACTCTAAGCTTACATAAGCCATTATCAAAGATGACAATTACAGTACAATATATTAAGCAATACACGGATAAGAAAGTGATGATAGTCTGTTTCTGTTTAAATGGATGACTTCCAAGCAACGATAAACACGTGCATATAAGACGCTGGAAGCGAAAATCTTACCGCAGCTCATGACGTCACACACGACCACGCCAGAGTGAATTCGAGAAATATTAAGTATGGGAAGCCGTTGGTATAAACCAATGGCTCCTCTTACCAATTATAGGCACTTAAGAAAATTTGTGGAGATTTTATAGTTTATTTTGTTCAGGTTAGGTTTTAACTGTTTTATATATACAGGTTCAAGAATTTTTAGTTTTTGTTTATTGTTTTCATGTTTAAGTATAGATGTGTTTTCAACAAGGATTTTCCGGAATTGTGGATGTGGCCAGGCATGTTGTTTTAAATGTTAGAGTTATCATTCAAATAAATATATATATATATATATATATATATATATATATATATGTTGGATATATGAATACATCAAAATTTAAATTTAAATCTATGTGGCCCTGTTTTTTGTATTTATTATATATATAATATCATATATATATATATATATATATATATATATATATATATATATATATATATATATATATATATATTGTATTCATTTTACTAACGCGTCTCGAAAACAAATTCTACTATATATAATAAAAAGAAAAGATACGCAAGAAACAATATTGCATTTTTTTATTAAAAACTATTTGTTATTTTAATCATTAATATTTTTTTTTTAAATAGTGGAATTATTTTTTATGTTAAATAATAAAAGTTAATTTTTCCCCCAAAATTAATGAAAATTTATTGTACTAAGCAAGGCAGCCGATTAAA